CTCTCTCTCTGTCTCTGCCTCTCTCTCTGTCTCTGCCTCTCTCTCTGTCTCTGCCTCTCTGTGTTGCTGTGCTCCTCTGTCTGCTTCACTCTTTCTTTCTGTTTGCCTCTCTCGCTCTCCATCTACCTCTCTCAAAATGTCTGCTTCTGTTTCTGCTTCTGTTTCTGCTTCTATCTCTCTATGTCTGCCATCTGTCTGCTCCTCTTTGTCTCTGTCTGCCATCTGTCTGCTCCTCTTTGTCTCTGCCTTCCTCGGTCTGCCTCTCTCTCTGCTTCACTCTGTCCTCTCTGTCTCCGTCTGTCTCCTTGTATGTGCGTTGGGTTATCATTGTGTCGTGTGTCTCCACATAAACTGGTTTTTACTCCTTGACTTTCCCCTCTCAGTATGGCCGTTATGTGTGTGGCTGGTCTCTTCTTCATCCCAGTAGCAGGTCTCACTGGTTTCCATATTGTGCTGGTAGCCCGAGGGAGAACCACCAATGAGCAGGTAAGTCTGCCGGTGCAGTTTTGGCACTTTATCAGTGTGAGGATCTCAGTGCTGATTCCAGCTGCGGTATGTGATGCTTATGATTCCTGGTGATTAGAGAGCACCTCTGATAGGCCCTGGGCATCTTTCTGCTAGGTCAGGGAGGCCCAACTCCAGTCCTGGGGGGGGGGGGCGGAACCCTGTGTAGTTTAGTTCTTTCTCTGTTCCACCATAAATGATTCAGCTCAAGAGCTGTGTGGTAATTAGCACAAGAAGTTGAACTAGGTGTGTTTAAATGAGGGGAAACCTCAGATGTGCATTGCTCTGGCCCCCCAGGACTGGAGTTGGGCACCCCTGCGCTAGGTATTTGCTGTCTGCCATGCGGAACAACATTATCGCTGCCCCAGTGATTGTGTTGGCAGATGTTTAAAAACCAGCTGTGTTCTTTCAGAATGACCTCCCCATGACCAACATCTCACACACACTTGTGTAATTAATGTTTGTTCCTGGTGACGTCAGTGTCGCTGCATTTTGTAAGCTGAGTAGCTCGGTGCTGCAGTGACGTCCCCGTGTTCCCTTACAGGTGACAGGGAAATTTCGAGGTGGCGTGAACCCTTTCACGGACGGCTGCTGGAGAAACGTCTCCCACGTGTTGTGCAGCTCACAGGCGCCCAGGTCCAGCCCTCTTATGCTTTCTGATTTACGTCTGTCTGTCTGCCTGCTTGTCTGCATGCCTGTCTGTGTCATATATATGTTTACATTGTGCAGACCATAAAAAAAAAAACTGTTATTTTGATGTTGTGGGGACATGTTTTCAGTCACCACATGGGGATTTTATAAACATCTGTGAAAATGCCAGAGGTCTTGTATTTGTTTGGTTACTTGTTGTTAAGGTTAGGGATGAGGTTAATGTTGGAAATAGGATTACGCCCCGGGGTGGACATAACTGGTACGCAAGTATGCATTCACCTTTAAAAACGATACGTGCGACAATCGATTGTTTGTAAAATCACAAATGCTTATGTGCATTTGCACTACTAAAATGCATTATTTTCTTTTCATATCAGTGCAAATCCACTTAAGTACGCATTTACACTGTCACCACAGTCGAATGTCGCATGTATCATTTTTAAAGGGGAATGCATACTTGCTTACCAGTTATGTCCATCCCTGATTATGCCCAGAGAATAAAATGGAGTCTCCACGGAGATATAGATTCCTAATCTGTGTGTGTGTGTGTGTGTACACATTGGCTATCTGCTAGTCACAGCATAATCACTGCATGCTACTGCAGTAGGTGTCCTCACAGGTGTGTTCTGGTCCTGTTCCTAGGTACATGGGCCGGAGGAGGAGGCTTCAGACTGTGGCTGTTCAGCCTCCCTTCCTCAGACCCCCACTGTCAGAGGCCCAGTTGGTAGCCAAGGTCTTAGACAACGGCATCCAGGGAGACCTGCACCGGGTAGGCTGTTCTGTACTGTTTCGAGCTTCTGTGTTCCCGGACCTCATGCTGAGCTGTACCTGCCCTGTCCATAGTGAGCCTCGGCGCTCCCGGACCTTGTGCCGAGCCGTGCCAGCTCTTTCCATAGCAGCCCCATCCTTAGCGAGCCTCGACATCCCCGGACCCCGTCTTGAGCCATACTGACTCTGTCTGTAGCGAGTCTTGGCGTCCCCAGACATCGTGCCGCACTGTACTATCCCTGTCTGTCAATGTCCCCCCCCCCC